TTTTGTTCACATACTTATGTTATGAGTTAGAAGCTAACCTATTTGGAACTTAATTATATTATTGTTCATGCAGCAAGGATGCAGAGCAACCAATAATCGAGCAGACCTGCGCACTCTGATTGGTTTTCTTTTCAGAAAGATTCAGTTCACTTGGCGAAATGTATTAGCTTTTGCAGGAACAAGTGAGGCTGAAGTGGGCACATTTACGGAGGAGATGGTTTGCAAGAAGGAAGAGGGGAGAGAGCCCTTTATGTACATAGATGATAAATAAAATCTAAAAATATTTCTTATTATAACATCACAGGCAATTCAAACATTAGAAATAAGAGCCCATATATAATTTTTACAAACATTTATTGCAGTGTAAAGCATTTTGATGCTGCTAAATTTGTATCTGATGGAACCAGCTTCGTTAATGAATTTGGACTGAGTAACAGAGATTGCCGCACAACTTAAATGTGAGGAATGCTGGAAACCACTTTAAGTCTGAGTCATCCGTACATCCCATGGAGTGCTGGATGTCAAGGGGAATTTGCAATAAATCCATTAGTAGTCATGGCACTGATGTATTAGCACTTGCCGTATAGAAACATGCGTAAATAATAAAGGCAACACCTTCCTCCACATTCCTCTCCATGTTGGTGAAACGCTCGGAACTGCAATTTAGATATACTGTTGCTGCACGTCAAATTCACTTATATAACAAGATGAAACATATTTCTATAAAAATGAAATTAATAAAATTAAGCTAGATTGCAGTTCACTTTGTGTAGACTTACTCCTTCATTTAATGGTCAAAGTGAATTTCTTTGCATCATGCCGCAAATCTTACCATGCTAGGTGTCTTATGGTGATGAACTAATATTCTTTTTCTCATGAAAGTTTCCACGTGATGCAATTTAATATTCTTTGCATTGTTGAATATTAGTGAACATATATAATAATATAATGGGTTTATGTGAAAAATGTTCTAACCCAAGGAATGAAATACTGAAAAGATCAATAAAAACTGGGATGTGGGAAACTCATTTCTTAAAAGGCATTAAGTTTGAACCCAACTTTGAATGAATCAAACTTTTCTAAATGCTCGTATATTAAAGAAAAAACAAAAACAGGGCTGGTCTGGTGACATAGTGGTTAAGTTTTCATGCTCCCCTTCAGCGGCCCAGGGTTCACAGGTTCAGAACTGGGCGTGGATCTAACATACTGCTCATTAAGCCATATGTGGTAGCATTCCACATACAAAACAGAAGATGGGCACAGATGTGAGCTCAGGGACAATCTTCCTCAAGCAAAAAGCGGAAGATTGGCAACAGATGTTAGCTCAGGGCCAATCTTCCTCACCAAAAAAAAATATAAAAAAATAAAACAGAAATGTTGCAGTGTTAGTTTTTTAACATTTTTATCTCACACATACGCACACAGCACACACAGACTCAACCTTCTATTCTCTCCAAAATTTGTTGGCCACTTACAATATGCCAGGAATTGGACTAAAGTGTTACTGTGCAATATCTCATTTAATTCTGACAGAGGCTCTATGAGGTAGGTAGTGTTACTATTCCCATTTTTTCAGATATGAAAACCAAGACTTAGAGAGAATTAATAGGTTGGTCAAGGTCATGTAACTAGTAAATGATGCAGTTGGAATTTGAACGCAGGTCTATCTCAGGCCAGAGCTTACATTCTTAATTTCTCAGCTATTCTGCTGCAGTAGGTACGTCATGTCCTTGCTCAGAAAGATACGTGTTAAACAAAGTAGATTTTGAAACTTTACTCATCTGACCCACTATATTTTATTGTGGGAGTATTCTCATGTTTTTGAAGTGACCAAAAGAGATCATATTATAATTTTCTATCTTGATGGAAGAAGAGCTTTAGGAGCATAGAAAATTTTGTAGGATTTGACATAAAGTCGTTTTTTAACAAAGAAAGCCAAGATGCTTATAGGGGTAGGTGGAAGACAGCTGTGTGGAGGCTGGACATCTGATGCCCTTGCTTGTGGTGGAATTGTGCTGATGAGTACAATCCAATGCGCTAGTGTGCGTCCGGAGGAGAAAGCGTGAGAGATGCTTTCCAGATACATCTGGAGCAAAAGGACACTACAAATAATCGCATTGTTTGGCACACAGTAATACAGTTGTTTTTGCTTTGTTCTGGTGAAACTTGAAGAACTGGAAAGTCATTGTAAGGGGGACAGAGTAGCTAATAGCATGCTAGTTGCCAAGTCTTAATACTTATTGGAAAAGGTTGAAATATGAGATGAAATCAAATCTGGAGTAATGATATTTGTATTGTGACATTTATCTTACTGAAAATATAAACCTTTAAAATATTATCCTCAAGTTCTGTAACTGAACAACTAGAAACTTTCATAGTTTCATAAGTTTGGGAAGTGTACCCTAAACTAAATGTTAATCTACATATATTAAATGTTCTGTCATTTCACATTTACATGTTATTTTTGTTTCTTTAAAAGCATTGTGAGGTGAAAGTACAGTACATGACCATGAGGTACAAATGTCACTTTATGGATATGAGACATTAGAATATGATAACAGTTGGACTTGATAAATTCAGACTGACATATCCAATTAACTTTTTCTTGACTGTCTTGTTATGATAACAGAAATATTTTTGTAATAAAAACTACAGGAGTAGGAGTCTGGATACTCGGTTTCCTACCAGCTCTGCCACTTAACCAAGTTTGCGTCTTTAGATAACAAGCCAATCCTTATGACTAAATTTCCTCGAATATAACATGGAGTAATGCTTGCCCTAGTTTCCATACAGAAGTAGAGAAGAAACGAAAAAATTGTCCTGAAAGTGATTTTTAATGTTAAACTTCACTACGTAATGTGAGAGATTGTTGCTTTACAACACTACGTTACTCTGATGATTTTGGAAAACTTCTGAATTCTTAGCTATGTTTCATACTGTTAAGTAGCATCTCTATTTTGAACTTTTTCTTAATTCACATGAAATACATAGTCATTAGAGAACAAAGTTAATTAAAAGGAGGAAAATAAAATTAATCAAATACCAGCACTCAGATGTCACCACCGCATCTTCTTTTTAAAGAAATCTCCACTTTTATGTGTTCTCATCCTATTTTTATCAATGTAGGCTTTACTGAAACATTTAATACTTAATCTTAATACTTACAAAATTACCAAGTGGGAAGATATTTGTCAGATAATGCTTGCTTATTAATATCCTGATAAATGACCTTCTGATGATGTCGAATGTAAATGGTCCTGGAAGGCTCTGACATTTCTGATACACAAATCTGTATATTCCGAATTTTCTTTGCTTGTGCACTGACTGATGCTTTTGAAATATAACATCTGTTCTTACGTAAGAGAGATAAACTGTTTTCTTGCATTAGTATCCAAAAAAATTAATAGAGAAGTGCACAGCCTCTCTACCATTGCACTTTAACAGGATTTGGTTTTACCACTTTTACATTCAATATTATCCTGACACGTTTCTTGGGTCAGGCCTACATACCAAGGCCTTTTTTAATGAATCAGGCACAATAGGCACATTGTAGAGATCTCTGGAGTTTCTCAAGGGCCTAGGGAAAAGTCTCAGACAGAATATGAAGAATAGTTGGATCCAAAATACAAAAAAGAAAAAAGTTAATGTATTAGCTATTTAATTAAATGTACGCAAATATGACGTTAAATCAACTTCATTTAGCTGATAAATTTGGTAACCATAGAAATTTAACATGTAGATATCTTGAAACCATACTGCTGTACATATAACTTTTACACATAAGCCTTACTCCCGGTAGAAATTTTTTTTCCATAAATACAAGATGCTTTGTGGCCTAAATTTTAATATTCAGTCTCACAGCTTTCCTTACCGTGTTCAGCACATAGTAAGTACACGGTAAATATGTATTGGCTTCCTTTATTACTGGACGCTTACATTCTCCTCTATAAATTGTACACCAATGTCTGTTCCTGGGATAACTAAATAAATATTTCCGTGGTCCCATTTAGTGGGAGGAAGATCTCTTCTCCTTTATATATCTTTGCATGTCTCTTCCAAATGTTTTGACTCAGCAAATTCATTTTATTGCATTTAGTGAGATAGATGCCAGTGGTACAATGAGATAGGACTTTAATGCATTGGATGCTTAGTAAACTTGTTTGAAACAAAACTCTTTTTAAAGTAAGATGGATAATTTACTGACATCATCACCATAAAGTAAAATTTAAACACTCACTGAAGGAGGCTATGACATTCTTCTTGGTGCTGTAAGACTAGTATTCACTATGGGAAAAGGAAAATGGATCTGTTAATGATGCTGGATAGTTTGACAGCTACTAGATGTTGCTTGTTAAATAAGACCTGACTTCTATGGATGGGATTTATTATCTGTATTCTCTTGCTATGACTACTGGGGCTTATGGCTGTTCATCCATTAGTTATCATCTATCATGTGTGAATAGACCCTTTCCCCGTAAAAGTTGGTTCGTAGTATATTTGTTGCGATTTGCTTCACTGTGCTGTATAACCCTGGCACATCTACATGCAGCTCTTCTTTCAAAAACAAATTGATATATGTTTCTGCTCCTCTTGGAAGCATCCAAAGTCAATGTTTCCTACTAGACTATTTCTTAAAAACTGGCAGGAAGAAATAAAACCCTATTATATCCCGTGCTTGTCCAATTCAATGGAAGAAGCAGTAATCTCCCATTTATTCTGAAACACCTGCTGGTAGATTTAATGAGTATATTAAAAACTGAGCTGCCTTAATATTTCTTTTAAAAAAACCCTATTCTCTTTCTTGAGCATATTTGATTTAAAGCTGTTATTTGCTTATTTGCTTTGCCATAGTGTGTTTGTGTGTGTGCATGCGTGCGTGTGTGTGTGTGTGTGTTTTGCCATAGCGTAAGTTTAATACTTTACTGATATGTCAACATAACACACATGGAAAAGTGTGCACTTGATGTATGGACTAATTGGCTTTGGTTTTTGTTTTCCAGCTGGGACAACGTATATCTTTAGCAAAGGTGGTGGACAAATCACATATAAGTGGCCTCCTAATGACCGGCCAAGTACACGAGCAGACAGACTGGCCATAGGGTTTAGCACTGTTCAGAAAGAAGCTGTACTGGTGCGAGTGGACAGTTCTTCTGGCCTGGGTGACTACCTAGAGCTGCATATAGTAAGTACTTTTAAAATAAGATTCAACTTTTACTTTTTGCTGTTAGCTTTTTGTAAATAACCTATAATTCTGCCTTTTGGAAGTTTCTCTCCCCCAGCAACCAGTACTTTGGTACAGAAAATATAAATATACTCTAGATGTAATGAGACCTTATACCTATTACTATTGTTAAAAGTGTTCTTTACAATAGAAAATATGTTTTTTTTTAAGAGTGAATTCCTCTTAATTCTCTGTTCACAAAGATTTATTTTTGGTGTGTTTTTAGTGACTTTAGGCAGACTTGCCAACTTAATAAAGTAAGATGTTGCCCAGTGGATACTATTCCATCTGGCTGGAAGCAGGAGGTTGTAATACTGATGACATAAAATGATGTGGATCCAGTGTCCTTATTTCTTGTCTCACTCAAGAAAAGAATTTTCTAAAGTTACACGCAATGGATGGGAGAAAAGGAAACTTTAAGAATGTTTGGGGATATGAAAGAAAATGGCAAAAAAATTACTTCTATGCTATATTATATTCATTTTGATACATAAATATCAAGAAAATAGAATGGGCTCTTGTCGTTTATATACTGGGATCATTCCTTTTTCTCTAAGCTCTAAACTTCCCACAAGAATTTAGTTAGTATGCAGTAGATGGTGAATAAGAGTTTATAAATGAAAAATTTTCTTTACCTTTTAGAGTTGCCACAACTGACTATTGCTTAGAGACTCTTCTCTATATCTCTACATCAAAGAGTTACTAACTTGTATGGCTGGAATTCTTTATCTCCTCATTTCCTTATAATATTTGCAAAGAAGCCAACGTAGTCTTTCATTGTTGAGCTAGTAATATTTTACTAATATGTCAAAATAACAACCATGGTAAAGTGTCATATATTCGAAAACTCTAAAGGATTCTTATCATAGTTCTTGGTTTAAAGTTCTATCTTCTGGAAGGTTCCAGAAGCATATGAGTCTCTCCATCTCCCTTTTTATCCTCGAGGTATAGTTTGTCCATTCTGCCTAATGTGATCGTGTAAGTTTGTTTTGTTTTGTTTCTGTCTGTCCCTGTAAGTTCTCCCTTTTGCCAGCACCTATGCCTCAAAGGACATTTAATTAGGTCAACATGTTCTTTCCTGTTAGAAACTGGCCTTTAGGCACTCATCCTAAAATGATTAGGAAAACCACCAAACACCAAAATACATTATCACAGACTTTTGCAGGGTCTTCATTCTCAAAGTTTTACTTATTTGTTTTCTTAATCTTAGTTTCCCATTAGACTTCTAGAATTTCCAATAAGCTGAGTAGGGGTTTACACTGACCACAAGAGCTGAATTCATTGCTAATCTTGGAAAGAAAAGAACACCTCAGCACAACCATTATTGAACCATCGTAAATTTTCAATTCAAAATGCAGTTGTCAAAATGGGAACCATGGGAAAGTAATTTCAGCTGCCTTTCAGCAAATATCTAACAATCAAAATTGAAAGCATCTGGATCTTTATGGCATCCTAAATAAATGATCAGTTGAGATAAACTTAACTAGTGCAGTAAAGAATCTTGCTGTTTAGAGTAATCTCAACTTTTTAAATGTATCTGCTCCGTTTTTATTTAAGAACCTTGCAACTTCGACAAATAAATAAATAAGAAAACAAGAGCTTTCCCTCCTGAAAGAAATTACTTATTGATCCATAACCAATTACACATCTACCCTGAGAAAAGGTTCTACAATGATCACTCTCAAATCATAAGGGGCCATGTTACTGAATTACTCAAACCGTTATTGTTTGTTTTATGGTCAAATGGTTTTGATCAACAAGAATGGGTATTTCTTTCCAATTCTGATCAAAAGTGGACTTAGAGTCCTTTCACATATGTAAAGGATTGGTTTTTCTAGGTGTCCATACCAGCCTAGTACCTTCTATACCTTCTGTACTGGCCGTGGATTTCTGACAGCTGACCCGTGAGGGCCTCCTTTCTAAATCTCTTCTCTTTGTCTTGCCTGCCGTTCACTTTGGATTTGCTATTTGTGTCTACACGCCCTCCCTCTTGGATTTGCTATCTTCAAGCTCTCCTTTGATCCAGCAGCCTGTCCTTCACTGGGAAATGGAAAATGGACATCGGTTCCCTGGACTTAACATACGTCATTGTTGGTTAGCCCTACTCATTTCTGTATCAACTATTAGGACCCAGGCTTAGGACAAATCTGGCCAGCTACAACTTTCTCTCTCCCTCCCTTTTCTCTACCTTTCTCTTTGCCTACAAGCAGTGATCAGCTATTAGTGACTCAGCAAGTTGCTTATTTGGAGACAAATCACTTCTTTCCGTGTTTTCAGCGTACAGACAAATAACTCTAGGCCAGTGGTTTTCTTGTTACTATTGAAGTTTACCTCTAACTCTTTTCCACGGTGTTGAGCGCATGGAAGAGGAAGACAAGGAGGAGTTAGATATTAAAAAAGGAAAGAAAGACAGAGACAGAGAGAGAAAGAGAGGGAAGGAGGAAGGGAGCAAAGATGGAAAAACGGAAGGAAGGAAGGAAAGGAAAGGAAAATGAAGCATATAGGGACCAAAGTTGATGCCTGCAGGTGATAGAAACAGAAGTATTCTTAATAATTATACTTAGACGGGAATATTCAAAGGCTATTTTATGAAATTATTTATGCACCTTCGAGTCTATTCTGATTTTTCCCAAATCATTTCTTCTGCTTGTTTCAGGATTGGAAATTTAAAAGCAAAACAAGATTTGAAGAAGTGTAGACTATTACTGTTGTTTGATTTTGGTTTATGAATATAACTGACTTAAAAATTAACTTGATTGATATCATAGGTGATATGATTTATCTATAGAAATTATTTTGGTTATCATTAAACTGCCAGGAAAATTTTCTAAACCTTCAAGATCAGCAAAGTATAAACTATGTACTGATCTTATTTAAAAATCATATTTCCATCCTTAATCAGTAGACTTAACTAATAAACTGAAAAGTTGATTTCACACATTAAAAGGTGCTGTGCTATATAAGGCCATTTCAATTAGATAACTTTTTAACAATCTGATTGGCATATAATTTCAGTGAAGATGTGAACATTTGACATTGTTTATCATCCCAGTTTTTCAAATGATCATGTTATATTTTACGTGAAAGTATAATCATATTTAAATTTTGATTAACTGTACTCTTAAAAATATAACAACTTGAAATAAAGTGTTTTTTGACTCAGATGGCCCAGTTTTTATAGATGGATTTTTTGGTTATATTAATATTCACAGATGCAATTTAGTTTCTATATAACTCTGAAAAAGTCATCTAACTTCTCGTTTACAATGTAGAAAAAGTGTGGTACTTGATACACAGCAGCTACATTATTGAAAAGTTGCATTTTTTAAATTGATTTTGTTCTCTGAATCTCCAACTAAGAATTGATTATGGTAGTTGGTTGTCTAAAGAAAGTCTATGGTGGGAATTTTGTTGGATGACTGATTCTCTCTCCTTAATAATTATCTCATTTGTTGTAACTCACTTTTATCATGAATTGTTCCCTAGTCATTTCATATCTGTTCATTATTGTCAAATAGAGATACACTTTCTGATGACAGAGAACATAATTTATAATAATGATGATTAATAAGAAAAATAATATAATATATAAATGTGGCTTTTCATCATTTATTTCAGTGCATGCTAGAATCCTATTCAGAAATATTTTCTAAGCAACTAATATAGCTCAGGCCTATGTTGGACGCTCTTTGGATAGAAAAATAAATGAGCTCACCACTTGGTACTTATCTCAATAAATATTTCTTGGATGAATGAATAAACAAGCCAGCTGGGATCCTGGTCACCAGGTAGCTTAGATTATTTATAGTAAACATACTTCGTCCCTAAGTGACTAGTGTTTCTTGGTTATTGCTCCATCTTGGTATATCTCCATTTCTTCCTTTTGTGGTTTTAACTTTCTTATCTGCATAGTATTTGTAAGAATGTGGACAAATGATAGGTTTTTAAGATAAGGAATATAAAGAAGAGATTGTGAAGTGTAAAGTGTTATACATATTTAAATCAGTAATGTTGAGGATTGTTTAATCGTTATAGATAAAATAATTTCTTGGAAGCAATAAACAAAAATTTAAGTTCCATTTTTTTATAATTTATATGATATATCTAGCAATTTTACCAATACTATCACTCTAGAGGAAACATCTCATATATCAGTCGGGTAATGTTAATTGGAGATTACTTAACCCCTCTCTGACTTACTGAAGAAAGCCACTGCCAAGTGTGCGCTCACTCGCTGCCGTGAATATTAACGTGTGCATGGGTTCTAACCAGAGGAAATGTGTGAAGGGTGTAGGAGAGGATGAGCGAAGAGTGTTCTTTGAAATTCTTTCATCTTGGGAGCATGAAAGAGCATTGCAAATTTGATTAGTGAATTGTTGTACATATTTGCTGTAAGTGTTTCTTCTTTGTACTTTGCTAGGCAGGAAGCCTTAATTTTGAAACCAAGCTATTAATTGATTTTGATTTAGAAATACACCTTTTGATCAGCTGTTTTAATATAGACTAGAAGCATACTGTATTTATAGTAAATATTACTTGGCCCAAAATAACTTATCAATATTGGTGATGTGTCAAATCTTTCTCATCTTTCTCTGCCTCTCTACATTTTATACTACTTATCTTACTGCTCTATTAAGATTAAAGTAAAAAATACCTTTCCAAAGTCAGTAATTACACATAGATACATACCTAAACCAACAAGATAAAACCCAACTATTCCCTCATAGGCTTTTCTTGAATTTAAATTATGTTCCATCTGAAATATTCTTTCTAACCAAAAACACCTATTTTAAGAATTTCCACTTTGCCATATAATATTTATATTCAACCCTATAAGTCGTATACAGTAGATATTTTATTTGATTTTCTTTTCCTGGTTCTTACATAAATTAGAGAACATATGGCCTATTTGACTAGAATTTTAAAAGCAAGGCTAAAATCATGTCTTTTCACCATGTGTT